GACGTCATACTTAATAAAATGGACTGTGGTTCCTAATATGGGGTTACATCTCATTTGTATTCACTACCACTAGATGGCAGAATTGTAGTACTTTCGATTCTAGACCAAAATGACGTAATGTTCCTATTCAAAGTGTTCGAGGAAACAGCAGAGCAAATGAGCTATCGTGTCATTGATGCGGAAGCAGTTCAGTTCATAGCGTGTGAGTAAATTGTGAGATTTGTGAGAGAAAATCACCAAATGGCTAATAAAAGTTGTACTGTGAGGATGTGTTGCAAATGTTATTCGCCAATTCTGACTCTGAAGGGGAATATTTGCCTTTTGGAAATGACGATCGGTCGTCTAATGATTGCGCTTCTCCCGGTACATCTTTGCAGCGCAATGGTGCCGCCGTGCAAGGCGAGAGTGTTCACGAAGCACAAACAAGTGATCATTTCGACCCTTTGCCCAACGGGGACGGGGGTGGCAGCAGTGAACGTGGTCGTTGTGTCCATAGGAGAGCTGTTGCTAGAGGCAGAGGCAGCAGGGGTAGGAGAAATAGGGCTGGAAGTAGCACTAGTTCTTTGGATCCAGCGCCCCAAAGAGGTGGGAGTGCTGTGTGTGGGAGAGCCGGGAGATGTGGTAGAGACCGCAGGGTTGATCTGGATCTAAATAGGGCTGGAAATAGCGATGACAATGGTGGCTGGGTTTATTTGACAAATGAAGAAGTGTGTCAGGACTGGATCGAACGCTTTGATGAGCCTGTTAGTAATTTAGTACTTTCTCCTGTTTTATTGTTGGTTTCCTCTTTTCTGATAATTTGGAAGACATGCAAATATGTTCAAACATCCGTTCAATATCTATTATTTCCTGAATATTACTGATCAAAAAGTAGGCTACTGTTCACATGCATTTTACTACTATATACACTGAACAAAATTATAAACGCAACACTTTTGTTTTTGCCCCCATTTTTCATGAGCTGAACTCAAAAGATCTAAGACATTTAGTCTTTGTCTATTTCTGTCAAATATTTTTCGCAAATCTGTCTAAATCTGTGTTAGTGAGCACTTCTCCTTTGCCGAGATAATCCATCCACCTCACAGGTGTGGCATATCAAGATGCTGATTAGACAGCATGATTATTGCACAGGTGTGCCTTAGGCTGGCCACAATAAAAGGCCACTCTAAAATGTGCAGTTTTACTGTATTGGGAGGTCTGGGGGGGTCCGAAAACCAGTCAGTATCTGGTGTGACCACCATTTGCCTCACGCAGTGCAACACATCTCCTTCGCATAGAGTTGATCAGGTTGTTGATTGTGGCCTGTGGAATTTGGTCCATTCCTCTTCAATGGCTGTGCGAAGTTGCTGGATATTTTGTGTACATAGAAAAAGTCTTAGATATTTGAGTTCAGCTCATGAAAAATGGGGGCAAAATCAAAAGTGTTGCGTTTATAATTTTGTTCAGTGTAGTATAGTAATATCGTAATAATTTAGTACTTTTTGTCCTGTTTTATTGTTGGTTTCCTCTTTTCTGATCATTTGGAATGAGGATAAAAAGATTTAAAAAAAACATGCAAATAAGTTCAAACATCAATTCAATATCTACTATTTCCTGAATATGATGAAATTCAAGATGGCCGCCTCTGATGACGTCATAATATGCAAATTAGACAAGTATAATTACACCCAACATAAATTTTCGGTCATGCCCAACATTTTTCTAATTTACAGTAGATCTCTATCTTTAAGCCCTTTCAAGCCACAAGCTTTTGAAATCTTGATGTCAAATCCAGCATTTTTCCCAAAAAATCC